AAAAAAAGCCATTTGAAATTAGAACCAACCACTGCATTTTAATCACGATACAAACAAAGATAAAACCTGCATGAAACAAAAACAGACAGGCTGAATGAGAACGCAAATTCACTCTCTGACAGCAGGTGGTCCCTGATAGCACAGGTACATCTCGGAGACGTCTATTTGACGTCTGCATTTACATCTGCAAGATGTATTTTTTAGAGTGTTTGCTCATCTGCAATACGTCTATAGGACGTTTCCTAACAGATGTCAAATAGACGTTTAGAAGATGTCTTTAAGATGTTAATGATTTAGAATGCATGTAAAACTGACATCTTAAAGACGTCTATCAGATGTTTGTACACAGCAGATGCTTTCCAGATGAAGAGATCTTTAACAGACATCTTGCAGACTTGCATGTGCTATCTGGGGTGGTTATGGATCAGCAATGATAAGGGGGGAAAAAATGCCATCAAAACTTTTGTGAAGTCAGTTCCCTTCAGAAATACATTCATATAAACCCCAACCCCAATATTTATATTTTTCTTCAGAACAGTGAGCTTGCTGTACCTATACAGTATTTTCTCTGTGCGTGCATATCTGTTAATTTTAGGCCATGCTTGCAAGAGATGAACCCTTGAGCTTTTATTTTGGCAGAAACTTCAGTTAAACTTTTTTTTTTGGTGGAAAACTCCAGCTTCTGTGAAAACAGGTTTACAGACATTACTAATTTAATGAAATACTGTAAACATCGTGCGCGCTTCACTTTGAAACAAGCAGCGCAAACAGACTTGATAAGTCATATTACGCTTTCGGTTTTTTTTATTCGTTTGACCAATATTTGCCAAAGCAATGGCGTGAAACACAACGTTAAAGAACTTTTATGTTATAAGTATAAATATATCTTCGGTTTATTATGAAACTGTGGCGGGCCGCCACAGTCTAGTTAATGAATGGGAAACACTGAGATTTATAAAAGGAATACAGACTATTATTCTTAAAGTATATGAAATGTCCTTTAGTAGTATCTGCACATTTCAGATCACTACTCAGTACTGCGTGTGTAAAGGCACTTGTCTTCTGAAAAATAAGTTGAATGAAGTATTATGTATACAGGTGAGAGTGAATTCCCCCGCCCCATTCCACTTGACCTTGTTTGTTTTGCAGTATTCATAGGTCAGTGCCACACCTGTGTCAGACAGCAGACTCCAGCACTGATAGGATTCTCATGAAACCCTACTGAATCTGTCCTGTTCAGTCTCATCTGGTAGAGAAAATGTTTGTTACTGTCAATTTTCCTTTGGCATCAGATTAGTTTGTGACCTGCACCTTCCTGCATTCATTTCCTCACTACAGTCTTCTTGATGCGACTGCTCTGTCTCAGGTCCAGTTTGAATTAATTTTGGCTTGATGTTTAGCAGAGGAAGAAAAATGAATCGGAGTAATTGGCTGAAATGTAGTTTTCATTTCCCATGGATGCGGATGTTCATCTCTGGAGATCTTGTGAATGCATGTATCCAGTTTCATCATCAATGAAGCTGATTAGTCATGAAAGACTGATACGCTGGCCAGAATATGTATCCATTTTGAGATTATTAACATAAAATTCTTCCTGTTTGTCATTCTGAAATCTGCTGATAGCCTTGTTTGATGGATTAAATGTATTCGTGAATTTTGGGATAATTTCATTTCAGAAATTGCAGTAGACATTAGACATAAACCATATATTAGGAAATCTATACAACAATACATTATTATTATGTTTTTACTTTGTTGGATGCAATGTACTGATACACGTTCTCCCTTCTGTTTATGTCCACTTAAGACATAATCAACTGTGTATATGTGAATACTCATCAAAATGGACAATTCAACATCATTTTGTGTGTAATTCTCCGTTCATGCGACGCAAAAGAGTACTCGCGCAATGAGTCGCGCTTTCCGTGTGTGTATGCTTCAGTGTCTGCGCTCAGAAAACCGGACCGAATTGAGTTCTATCTTGCGTTGTCAGATTTATCTATATGTCTGCGCTTCTCTTACTCCCACATATTGACATTTTGAACGTTTTATGCGACGTGCAGCATGCTTATGTCCCGCCGGTTCATATGTACACCTCTAACCTCCGAACCACGCAGCAGATTCGTTCGGAATGAATCTTTTCCCAAATCGTCCCTCCCTAACATTTTTGTCTCGTTTTTATTCATTGACGAAAATGTCAGTAGATTTACATCATAGTTTTTGTCATTCAAAAAGAGTTTTAGTTC